GTCTGACCAAGGCCAATAGAGAAACTATGTACTATGCAACGCAGCTTAAACGCCAGAAATTATTATCGTCTGCTTTCAGCATCTCGCATTTTCTTTGTTCTTTTCTCTTGCTTCTGCCATCGTCTTTCTGAACCTCGAATTTAGCAGCGCCAATCGTAGATCTGAACATGTTCAATGCTAGCACTGGTTGGAACACTGACAAAAAAAAAAGTTTAAAATTGTTGTTGAATCTTGTTAGTAAAAAACATCCCGCCTTACAACTGTACCACTTTAACGCTCGAAGTTTTAATTCTTATAAAGTTGACTATATTGATCGTGTCTTTCAAGACTCGGACGTTGATGTTGTATGTGTAACTGAAACATGGTTCAATGAATCTGTGATGGATAATGCTGTCAACTTGCGTGATTATAAACTAACAAGAAACGATAGGAAAACGGGGTAGAAAGGTGGTGGAATTGCTATATATTACAAATCCAGCCTGCGACAAAAAACCATTTTTAAATCAAATTGTGTCGATCCGGTTGAATACCTTTCAGTCGAAATTGGGGATGGTTGCGAAAAGTGTCTTGTTGTATGCGTGTACAATCCGTGTAAGATGTTTGACCTTAGTGGTTTATTCATCCAAGTAACTGATTTAGCGCCTAAATATGAGCATGTTTTACTATGCGGTGACTTCAATATAGATCTGTTAAACAATGACAATAGATCCAACGATTTGATAGATAGATTGGCTTCTGTTGGTTTGCAAGCAATGAACAGATTTCCAACGCGTTTTGCTCCTAATTGTAAGCCAAGCCAACTAGATCAGGTCCGTGTATCGGATTCTGTTAGCATGCTTCACTGCGATCAATTTTCAGTTGCTGGTGTATCCGATCACGATATGTTATTTGCATCTTACAATCTGTGTCTTAAAAATGCTGTCCAACCATTCTTTTACAGGGACTTCAAATCTGTCGATATAAATGCTTTAGAATGTGAGGCCAATGCTCTAGATTGGAATACTGCGTGGTTTTTCCCTGATATAAACCGAAAACTGAACTGGTTTACTTCCTTGGTAACGTACCTCTTTGATAAATATATTCCTTTAAAATTTGCAAAAATTCCTAAAAATAAACAGCCATGGTTCACGGGGGAGGTTCTACGCACTATTAGAATGCGGAATAGATTATACACATGTTGGAAGCGCAAACCAACATACGAAAATTGGGAAGTATATCGTGTTGATAGAAATCGTGCCACTTTTGCAACAAAAAATTCAAAAAGGCAATATTATAAGGCCAGACTTAGCGTGGATCTGCCAACCAAAACTCTCTGGAATAATCTGAAGTCCGTGGGCGTAGGGAGTAAAAGCAACCTAGAATGCGATTTAGATGTTAACATCATGAATGAATACTTCCTTCAATCGATCAGTTTGCAACATAGCAGCGAATTCAAACTGGACCAAGGTCTTTTATTTAGACAAAATGAAGAATTTAGTTTCTCTCCTGTAACGGATAACGATGTAATAAGAAGTATCTATTCATTTAAATCGAACGCTATAGGTGTGGACGGTATAAGTTTAAAATTTTTGAAAATGATCCTTCCATACGTAGTACCAACCGTGACCCATATCTTAAACCTTTCTTTCACTTCTTCTACGTTTCCAGACGCATGGAAGATAGCAATGGTTACTCCATTTCCGAAACACGCGAGCACGCAGTCTCTTCACCATCTGATTTCCGTCCAATAAGTATACTGTTCTCGTTGTCCAAGGTCTTGGAAAAGCTAATGGTAAGACAGATAGTTGGCTACCTTGATGAATATATACTCCTCACGGTGTATCAGTCTGGGTGTAGAAGTAGCCACAGCTGTGCTACAGCTATTTTGAAGGTAACTGAGGATATAAGACCAGCATATGAGAGGGGTGAGCTAACAGTTTTAGCTCTGTTAGACTTCTCCAAGGCCTTTGACAAGGTTGATCACAGTATACTCCTGCTAAAGCTTAAGAGATATTTTGGATTTTCTGATGGCGCCGTAAAATTAATGGAAAATTATCTTACAAATCGTTGGCAGAAAGTTGTCGCTAAAAACGTGGGCTCTGAGCTAAAGAAACTACATTCGGGAGTGCCGCAGGGGTCTATACTAGGTCCAATCCTACTTAGTATTTTTATCAATGATATTGCTAACTGCTGTAAAAGCGTATCCTTTCATTTGTATGCGGATGATGCCCAAATTTATATCTCGCCCTATAGGACTTTTTGAAGACTTAATAGCTAGAGTCAGTGAAGATCTTCACTCGATATCTGTTTGGGCAAAGCTTAATAACAAGGCGAATTTATATAAGGTGGCGTTGTTTCATCAGCTGTGAGTAGCGTTTGGTTGTCAAAATTTTGAATTTCGTTAGTGAGTGAGTGAAAACGTGAGAGTGTTTGCATTTTCTGTCGCCCTTTTTCATTCGGGGAAGAATAGCTGAAATTTGACAATGGCCCGCTAAAAGCAAAAACAAAATACAAGTAATTGTTGTATTTGTTCAATCGATACCACCTTGTATGTATTCGCCTTGCTTAATAATTTGAATTTAAATTCAACGAAGACTAAAGCTATATGTATCTCACCCCATTTAAACTCGCAAGATTACATTCCATCATTAGCCTTACAGACAAATTTGAACCAGTTGTTACAAGTCTTGGTTATAAAATTAACTCACATTTAGGGTGTACTGACCATATAAACTCCACTTTAGCAAAAATATATTTTGTACTAAGAAAGTTATGGCGCACGGCGGACTTTGTACCCAAATTACGGTTGGTAAAAATATTTATAGTTCCACTGATTTCGTATGGTGAACTCGTTTATGGTCAAATGGACAGTACAAGTGAGCGGAAACTGCGAATGGCGCTAAATAATTGCGCAAGATATGTATTTTCCAAGCGCAAGTTTGACCACATTTCACAGTGTAGCTATAAAATACTCAACTGTAGCGTGACTGTTTTCTTAAAATATCGTAGCCTTTTATTTCTGCACAAATTGATACATAAAAAACCCCGGAATACCTTTTTAAAAAATTAACTTTTGCGCGTTCAAGTAGAACATGCAGCCTCATTGTACCAAGGCACAATTTTCTTGTTTCCTCGAGAATGTTTTTTGTCAGTGTTGTAAAAACATGGAATTCCCTACCGATATGTTTAAAATCCATTGAGAATGCTAGGCGCTTTAAATCAGAGGTTTTTTGAATACTTTAAGATCTAAACCTTATTAACTCTTAATAATATAACCATTATATTAAACAATTTTATTGGGCCTGATATGAAAACTTGGTGCGGAAAAGCAACAATAATTTACATATACATAGATAGAAGCTATAGCTGCTATTTCGGTGTGCTCGTCCTTTTAGTTATTTAGTTTTAATTACACAGTGATACAAAAGTAAACAAAAAAATATGCAAGGGTTCTCATATAGAAAATATGTTTTGTTATAGCCCATAGGACACGACTATACTTATAGTTTTCTCCATCACTTCGTTTATTAGTTTTTTACTAACAAATAAATTAAATCTTTAGTATTCTTCAAGTTACAACTTCAAGAAGGTATAACTTTGTCGTTTTTGGTCGAATTTAAAATGTTTTACCTCTCTAACAAAGAAAAAATTTTGAAAATCGCCCGGAGAAAGGCTTAAATTGTTTATAATGACTTTTGCTAAAATTTAAAATCAAAAGTTATCAAAACAAATTCTATGGGACTGAGAATTACTATTTTCTACTTTTAAGTCCATTTATAAAAGCATTGTAGCATTTTGTATATTAAAAAGAATTATTATTTTCTACTTTTCAGTCCATTTATAAAAGCGTTGTATATTAAAAAGTTTTTTTTTATTATTTATTTTCTACTTCTTAGTCTTGTCTGTATAAAATTTTGCAATAGATATTAAAATATTTATTTTCTACTTTTTAGTCAGTTATACAGACAAAAATTTTGCAATAT